TTTATACCAACATACACACTATATATCAGGGATTTGATTTTTTTTCCATGAATGAGCCCATTGTTAAACATTTATAAGTATACTGTTGGATGATACTGTTCTTGGCTTCAGGGAAACTTATAATTGAGCTCAATCAGAATTAGGCATGGTACTATATATATTTCCTTTCTCTGAGTCATGTGACCCAACTCTGGCCAATGTGATATGAAAATGACTCTGCTAGGAAGTTTTTTGGGAAGACTTTTTTTTCTTCTAAAAAGGAGGCATAGCAAGAAGATGGCTCTCCCTGTTTCTGGCCATCTGGTATCTGGCTCTGACATAGCTAAACTCAGCAGCCATCATATGTCAACGTCAAGGCAGGATAAACATGCATTTTGTTGGTTGTTTTTGTTTTTCTTTAGAGACCTCATGTTCAGTAAAAAAAAAACACTTTAATGTGCATCTTTCATATTTTCTTCTCTAGTGGGGACCCTGATAAGTGTGACATCTGGGGAAATACTCCTCTACATTATGCCGCCTCCAATGGCCACACCCACTGCATCTCATTCCTGGTCAACTTTGGGGCCAACATCTTCGCCCTGGATAACGACTTAAAGTCTCCACTGGATGCTGCTGCCAGCAGGGAGCAGAAAGAATGTGTTGCTCTCCTGGATAAGGCTGCCACCATACAGAACACCACGAACCCCAAGAAGGTCGCCCGACTGAAAGAGCAGGCTCTGAGGAACGCCAGGAAGCAGATGAGAGAATGCGAGCGACTTCAGGAGAAGCACCAAAGCAAGATGGCACGCACCTATAGCAAGGAGGATTCTGGGACTTTTTCTTCTTCCCACGGCGCCTTCTCTGGGTCGTCCCTTTCAAAAGCTTCTACCGGCGGATTTGGGTCGCTGTCTAAAGGGATTAAAGATACCTTCAAGTTAAAATTTAAGAAGAACAAAGATACAGCAGAGCCGGTGGGGCAGGAAGACAGAAACGGGCAGAGGCACGTAATGGAAGTGTTCCGAGAGGAGGAGGAAGATGCATTTCCAGATGACTTCGGAGAGAAGCTCCGTTTCTCAGCAGGGAAAGCCAGCGATGTACAGCATGAATCTATTCTCAACCGTCCAGGCCTAGGGAGTATTGTTCTTAGAAGGAACAGAATACTGGACCTCGAGGACATCTCAGATAGCAAGAGGGAGTTGGGGTTTAAAATGCCCAGTGAGCTCTTCCAAAGACAAGGGGCAGCCGATGAAGAGGAAGATGAAGAGGGAGAGGCAGATGGCACTGCGGGTGATTTTCCCTGGGATGAAGATGAAGTCGAATGGGAGGAGGATGTGGCTGATGCCACTCCCCTGGAAGTGTTTCTGCGGGCTCAGCACCTAGAGGACCTCCTCCCCATTTTCATCAGAGAGCAGATTGATCTAGAAGCCCTGCTGCTTTGCTCCGATGAGGACCTTCAGAATATTCACATGCAGCTGGGCCCCAGAAAGAAAGTCCTTAATGCCATAGACAAGAGGAAGCAAGTGCTCCGACAGCCTGGGCAGCTGGTGGACACCAGCCTCTGATGGAGACCCTTGCTTAACAGGGTGATCTGAGTATGGGGTCATGAACAGTTCCCTTGGGAGCACCACAGGAGGCAGCCTGTACCTGATCTCTGTCCAGTGAAAGACCTCTGGGTGTGGGTGTTAGGATTTTAGAGAGGACCCCAAATATAGAGAGCCAGACTCTGGGAGATACTTTGTGTTCGGGTAAACCATCAATGGGAAAAGCTAGGAGACCTTGGAATAAGAAAACAGTGTTTGTCCTCATGGCTTTGCTTTCTGTGTAGACCAAAGGCTCCACTGGTCTAAAGCATAAAGCCCAACTTAAATGGACCTAATCCTTTAACAGATATTTACAAGCAATAGGGTTGGGTTTACAGTATTCCTATCTAAGAGTCAGGACAGTGTGTAGCACGTAGGGGGATGGCAGAAGGAAAATGTGAGGAGCTTGTTATGGAATACATTTCTAAAGTTCATGTATGAAATACTTTAAAGAGGTATATAAGATTGTGTAAGATGATAAGGGTGGGCTCTTTATTCCATGTGACTTAAAGGAAAAGAAAGATAAATTAGAGGTGTGCTCACACAGGAAGAAAAAAGAACAGCAGGAGGGCAGCAGGAGGGCAGCTGTCAATCAGCCAACAAGAGCACCCCCCCAACCTCCCAGGAAAATTGACAATAGTTTGAACTTCCAGCCTCCTGAGATGGGAAAAAATAAATTTGTGTTGTCTAAGCCACTCTGCCTGCAGTGTCTTGTTATGGCAGCCTAGGCTGACAGTGTGATGTGTAAACAAGGGGACCATGAAGGGAGAGAAAAAAGGTTTAGGAAAACAATGCCTGACCATTTCACAGTCTTCCTATGGTTTAAGTGCCTTGTGAGATTTAAAAGGAGATAGAAAAAGTATAGGAAGACTAGTTTTCGGAAGATTGATGGCAAAAGTAAATGTTATACATCCAAGCTTGTTGTGCGTGCCTTCCCTTTGTGAGTGTGTATCGGCAGTGCCGCTGTCTGGGTAAGTGTGCTAAGTTATAGTCTTGATCTTACATGTAGCCCAAAGAACCATAGGCTAACAGCTTGGTCATCTGCCTGTGGAGCTATTGGGAGGAGGTAGACACCCATCTCCCAAACAGGACTTAGCAAAAGGAAGTCAGGTCATAGAGGTATGCCCTTGAAGTAAGTGGGTATTGAGATTTTAAATACCCCCTTTGCTTTCCATCCACCTTGAAGTGAATGGGGTCCCTCTGTTACATGCTCTAGTGGACCACCTAGCCACAGGTCTAAAGCATTGAGACCAAGTAATAATGGAACAAAGCCTCTGGATTAAAAATTCGGTGATAAATTGAAACCATTCTTTTGTAATTATGTTCAAATGTCTATTCTCCCCCCCCCCGCCCACCACCACACACACACCAAATAGGGCACCAATAACAGATCAAAGAAACAATTCTACCCATGTCTAGCTCAAAACCATGGAGCTGTTGGACTTAAACTCATATGGAAAACTCAAAGGTCACTGTATCAGCCAAAACCCCACCCGTCCCAAGTGTGAGAGATGATTCAGAAAATATGCATCCTGGGAGCTCCCTGCCTGAAGTTGCAGGTGGCTCCACCAGAGAACATTTTTCTCCCCAGCAGCGTTTGCTGCTTTCACAACCTTGGGAGGGGTCTTGTGAATCTCATAGTTTCCATAAGCTTCTTGAGCCTGGAAATTCTCTATAGCTTCTTGAGCCTTCTGAACCTCTCTCCTCTCTCCAATAGGCAATGTTTCAATTTGGAGGAAGTAGCAACACAACAGTTATATTATATAATCTCTATATATTATGTAATGTATAAATAAGTAAATTCCATTTTACTCTATTGTTCCTCACTCTCCATTCTCCATATCTTTAAGCTTTTCACAGACCCCTTTCTGCTTACATCACACACACACACACACACACACACACACACACACACACACACACACACATGTAGACTCTGTATACGAGAAATAAATATGGGGTATTAGTCTTTCTGAGTGGGGCTTATTTTGCTTACCAGTCTTTGATTCCTGAGATCTATTAATTTCATTCTTTACAGTTGAGTAAAGTTCCATTGTGTAACGCACTGCATCTCTTTCCCCATTCATCTGTTGCTGGACATCTCAGCTGGCCCCATTTCCTGGCTATTGTGGACAGGTCTGTGTGGTACATTGAATGGGACAGCTGGGTCACATGATAACTTTGTTTTCAGTTATGGAAGGGCTGCCACGCTGGCTTCCATAGCTTACTTTCCCTCCAGCAATGTGTACGGTTCTTCCCTCAAATGACTTGCATTTTTTTTTTATGCTGACAGTTTTTAGAAGGCAATCTCAAACTGAAACCACTCCTAACCAATACCTAAGTTTTATTGGGATTCTGTAACCAGACTACCACCAGGTAGAATTTACCATTGACTGTGTGTGTGATATTAGAAAGGTTATTTTTGCCTACATAATTTCCATTCACCTCTGAGTTACTTCAGGAGGCTCCATGCAGGATACAGGCGTTCAAAGGTGATAAACTTACTCATTCCTCCCCAGTGAGTGGATCTAGGAAGCATATGGTTTATTGGAGATGCTACATTAGGGGATAGTTGTTTACAAATACTGTGTTTTGTTGTGGAATAAGCTAAAGCTTATTGTCTTCAATAACATGCAGAGAAGCAGTTGTCATAGGAAGGAATTCAGAGGCTTTGTGTTCACTGCAGATTCCCGGATCCCCTCTAGTTCCCGAGAAACTTTCTGAGACACTATCTCCAGATCCTTCCCAAACTTACACAGTAAGGAGAGGCCATCATATCGGAGGGGAATGAACCTAAATATGAGACTCCTGACACTTTTTTTTTGATCTATTGGCCATGAGACATGTTCTCTTTATGGGGTCTCTTGGCCTCTTAGTTATAAAGGACCAATGGATCGCTGTCACCATTGATTCACTTAGATTCAATGGATCACAAGTTGTGGTTTCTACCGACCTTGACCAAGGGAGCCTCATTATCTGTGTTTCTTTAAACATTTAAAATAGACACACACAGCTACATGACCTGTGATTGGGTGCATGTGACAATCATTGAAGAGGCAAATCTGCAGCAGTAGAGACCTGAGACTGGGAAGAAGTGGGCAATATACTGTGGGAGGTTTCCTCAGGGGATGACATCATTCTGGACCTGGTTCTACAAACCTCACCCAAACCCAATGAACTGTACACCTTAAAGTTATAAGCTGTGCTAGGGATGTAGCCTACTGGGAGTGTGTTTGCCTAGCATGTGTGAGTCTCTGGGTCTGATCCCCAGACTGATAACACGTAACACACACACACACGCACACACACACACAGAGTTTTATGGTAATTTCTACTCAATTAAAATGGAGAAAATATTATTCCACCTCCTTTAAGGATGGAGTGAGCATCTCTGACCACTTCGTTTTCTTTCCACGGGAAGTTATCAAAGGACACACGGAAGAACTGGAAATGCTTTATTTCAGAGACGTACAAAGGTAGTGAGATCAAGGGCAGGTGATGACATCACCTGTGTAACCGAGGACAGAGCTACCTGGTTGAGCTACCCAACTATAAGCATGAGTGAAGACGTCAGCACTTACAAACGAAACTACTGCAGGCCACAGGGACCAGGCTTCCTCATTTGATCTGGACATTACGAGACAGCCTTGGAGCTGCGATGTCCTGTTCAGTGCACAGCACAGCTCCTTCCTCTCACTTGCCAGATGACCAAGAATCATACACTAGCTTGGCTGCCACCAGGTCTTCCACTGCCATTCCTGTAATGGACAGAAATTTGATTCACTTTTTTTCCCCGCAGAACAACTTTGTTCAAAAGAACCCTGGCCGTCTTCTGATACCCTGTGTGCAGGTACTGCTAAAGCCCACAGGGACAGCAACTTCTACATGAGGTGCTTTCAGACTTGGTGTACAAAGGACTGGCCAATAGAAGAAATCCTAAGCAAGAAATACTCTCATTTTATAACCGCCAAGGTCTCATTCAGAGGTCAGCATTTCAATAGAGGCTCAGTGATAGTTTAATCTCTTTAAGTCACATGGTCTGGTACAATGGTCTAGTTCTCCCCTTACAGTGGAAAAGCACCCACAGGTCACAGGCAAGCAAACAAGTCTGCCTGTGTTTTGGTAAGGTTTTATTTATGGACACTAAAACTTGAACTTGCCCCCTCCATCCCCTTCTCGTGTGGTTGATGACTAGATTGATGCTAGCTGTCTTCCTCAACTCAATTGTTCATTTTATTTGTCTTTTATTTTGTTCTGAGATGGGGGTCTCTCACTGAGCTGACTGATTCAGCTAGACTGCTGGCCAGTGAACCCCAGGAGGGTCTTCTGGTTTCTGCTTCCACAACACCAGAATTACAGGCCTATCCATGTACTGCCACATCTGGCACTTTCCATGGGTTCTGGGGGTGCCAACTCAGCTTATCCTGTGTGTGTGACAAGCATTCTCCTGACTAAGCGACCTCATCTCCCCCAGTTTCTTCCATATTCCTTATGTGTCTTGAAAGATGTTCTCTATTTAAACAATCCCAATCATTTAAAAATGTAGACACTATTTGTAGCACATAGCTCATACAACTACAGGTAGTTGGCGGGGTTGGACTACATTTCGCTGACCCTGAACTATTACAAATCCTGTATCTTTAGCATCCTCCATTTGTCTTAGAAAGACTGAATATCCCTAATCCAAAAATCTGTAATCTGAAATGTTCTACAGTCTAAAACTCTATAAGATCATATTGAAATTCATAAGTTTTTCAGTTTGGGACAATTTTTAATATGGGAGGGTAGTGGGGCAGGGCAGGAGGGAGTTTGTAGATTGTCACCAAATCTACAAACATACAAAAAGGATTCAATATGAAACACTTGTGGGCACAAGAATTTCAGATAAGGCATATTCAACCTGAAGTTTTAAGATATGCACCTTAGGGGCTGGAGAGATGGCTCAGAGGTTAAGAGCACTGCCTGCTCTTCTAAAGGTCCTGAGTTCAATTCCCAGCAACCACATGATGGCTCACAACCATCTGTAATGAGATCTGGATGCCCTCTTCTGGCTTACAGGCACACATGTAGACAGGGTACTGAGATTACTGTATACTAATAAATAAATAAATCTAAAAAAGATATACATCTTAATTTTTGTATGCAGTATATATAGAGAGACTCAGTATATATCAGTTGGAAGAGAGGGTGTATCAATACACCAATCACCCAAGGTGGGAATATAAAACTTGCAAAAGAGATTTCTGCAATATTTGTTTAATGAAGCTAGCTAAAACCCAGATACAACTGGATCGGTAGGATGTCACTGGACCAGGTACTGGATTAAGTTTATTTTATTCATATTCTAATGATAAAGGAATTTAAAAAATCTTACCTACCTGTCAAGGCCTGGATACTAAGTAGTGGCATAGATGCTGGGTGGCCAGAGTACACGCTATATCATATGATATCATACATGCATACAATGTGTTTTGATCAAATCCTCTCTCCTTTTTCTTGCCCCCAGTTCCTTCCCATCTCCCCAACACTTTCCCCTCCAAACTTCCTGTATTTTTTTTTAAAATTAAGTACCCTTAGTACTACTTGTATGTGCATGGCAACCTCTCAAGGACCACAACCTTGAAGTTAACTGACTCTTCAACCCCACCCCCACCCCGTCTGCCATCATTTGCCAATAACTTCTAAGCTAGGGTTGAGACTTAATGAGCTCTATTCTCCATCCAAGCTTTTGGTTGGCTTGGCCTTGTACTGGTCTTGTGCAACAGGTCACAACACTGTGTGTTCATGTGTGCAATTGTCCTGTCATGTCCAAAAAATACTATTTCACTGTAGTGGCTCTACTGGCCAGCATTTTTTCTCTCCCCCCCCCCCCTTGTGGGGTGTGTGTGTGTTGAGATAGGGTCTCTTTGCATAGTCCTGGATGTACTGGGATTTGCTATGTAGATCAGACTAGTTTTGAGCTTACAGAGATCCACCTGCCTCTACCTTCCTAGTGTTGGAATTAAAGGTGTGAGCTGCCATGCCCAACCATCCAGAGTACTCTTAAAATTGTGGTGAACGCTAAAGTTTCTGCTACTCAGGATGAAGAAGTATGGAAGATGTTGGGCAGTAAGCACTTTTGAGGGGCCCTGGTAGTATCCATTTACTAACCATTTATAATTAAAATTTTTAGTGTAATGGCTGATTATTACTCTCATTACCATAAACATCTATTTGTTTAAATATGAGAGAGATAACCCAAGGGCAGCCTTTTCCCTGTAAGTTCACCCTTCCTTCATTGCGTTTCCATCCATACTATTCTATACAGTTTGGAACTCCTCATGATTGCCCATCATTAACATCATTTGGGAGGGGAGGGGGAAATGAAGGGTCTCAGGCTGTATACTTCCTGTCTCAGTCTCCTTTAGGTCAGGTCTCTGTCACTTCGTTTAGCTATTAACAGTTCTGCTCCCTGCTCTGTTCCTCTGACGGATATCAACCTCTGAATTCATTTATGTCTAACCCAGTAAATCACTACAACACTGACTCTGTACAATATTTTTTTCTTATATATCTCACTGATGTCATAAGAACTCAAGGTGACAGATGTGAATGGCTCTGAGACATTAGGTCACTTGCCTAAGGTCACATAGCCAGCACGTGCTATAGAAGGAATCTGGAATCTGATCCTGGACGAGCCGACTCCAGAGTTCATAGGCTAAACCGCACCACCCAAATATGTAAATGATTGATCCAAATGAAGGACTCTGCAACGATTTCCTAACCACTCACCCACAGAGCTCGGTAACCCACTCACTTCTCCTTTCACTGCCTTGTGCTCTGGCTGGATCTGTGCCCAGGGAGCAGTTTGTGGGGCTTACCCAAAGACTTGAAAACCGTGGTCTTCTCACAGAGTGCAGGCTTTGCTCCTGACACCACTTCTCCAAGCTCAGCGAAGATGTCAGCCTGTGAAACAAATGCATGCTACCTAGGACTGAGGCGCCAGCCCACACAGGGCTGGCTTCTGTGGTCAGTGCAGGGTATTCCTGACCTGGAGAGAATAAAAGGTGCTGTTTAAAAAGACCATCTGTGAACTGGATGGTGTTAGGAAGCCTCGGCTCTCTGATATCCTTTTGGGGCAGCATCTGTGTTCTTGACCCCATGGACACAGATCACTGTGTCTGGGTGGTTGCCTGCCAGATCCCCGTCTGTGAAGAAACTGATGCGCGATTGCCTGACCTTGCACTCTGGCAGCCTCTTGTTGCTTCTCTATCCCGATTATAAGCGGACATGGGCAGTCAGAGATACATCATCTTATTGTACTGTTGTGTCGGAAAGGCTTCCAGGCTACAACAGACTTCCCATCCCACTGCCTTATTGCACAGAAAACTGGGGGAAAAAAATCAACTCTTCCTCCAAGCAGAAGGACAAGAAGACACATGTCATAGCCATATGGCTATGTTTTTCTAGAAAAAGATTAAAAAGTGCTGCAAGATGTTAGGACTGTATTCCTCACCAGAAGGTGAGGTGACCAAGGTCCAGAGGGGAAGACAGTGAAACTCTGAGAACCAGGCCAGGGTCAGCCAATGGTCCTGCCCACAGGAGACTCACCCCTGACAACAGAACATCTCCTGACTCCTTCAGTGCGGCCTCCCGGGAGTCCACATACAGCACTGCTTGCTTCATGAGCCCGTCATCCAGTTCTCGCCAGTCAGGTCTGCTGGCTCCGACAGCTACGAGATAGCAAAACAGACTCTGAGCCCAGGAATATCCTAGGTAGGGTACATCAATAGATAGAGTTGAGCAGAGGACCAGTTGGGATGTTTAGATGAGAATTCGTTCTCATTTCCTAGACCAAGGCCTTCCCAATCAGAAAATAGAATACTTGTTAAATAGAACACCTACCACTTTTCTTTATTCTTTTGAAAATTATTTGTGTGTGTGTTTGTGTGTGTGTGTGTACAGGTGCATGTGTGCATGTAGATGCATGTGCATATATGTGCAGGTACATCTGAAGGTCAGGGGTTAAGGGTATTATTCCACAAAATGGCTATCCACCTTGTTTTGTGAGACAGAGCCCCTCCCTGAGCTTGCTGCTCAGGCCAAGCTGGCTGGCTAGTGAGCCCCAGGGATTTTTTTCCATTTCTGCTTCCCAGCACTGGGATTACAAGCGTACCCCTCCATGTCTGGGGGTTAAACTCGGGCCCTGATGCTCACGGTGAGCCCTTTCTGGGCTGAGCCATCTCCAAAGCCCTTCTTTTCTATCTCACACCCTACTTCATTTTGTAAGATTTCAGGTCACTTAGCAGCACTCAGGTTTTGAAAAGATTTACTTTCGTTATTTTAAATCTACATGTGTGTCTGGTGTGGGTATGTGTGTGTGCAGGTGCCTGAGGAGGCCAGGGGTCAGATGATCTTTAGAATTGGATTTCTAGGCAATTGTGAGCCACCCAACATGGATGGAAGGAGCTGAACTCAGGTCCTCTGCAAGAGCAGGTCACACTCCTAACCTCTGAGCCATCTCTCCAGCACCCTTCACGCATCAGGCAAACACTGTTCATGCTATGTTTTCTATATGTGCTATTCATGGACCCCCACATACGCTTCAGGGTCCGATTCCATTCACAGAGGCACACATCGAAGCTGCGAAGAGTGAAGGGTCCTGTTACCCAGCTCATCAGTAAATCTGGGTCAGAGAGAGCCCTGGGCTTTCACTCAAGAACCCCCTCTTGCTGGGAGTGACAGCTAACTGCAGAAACCACACCACAGAGAACCACCGCTTCTTCTCATCAGTTGGTGTGCTCCCCAGTCATCCCTGCTCCTCACCTGAAACTGTTCTTTTCTGCAGTCACGGCAAAGAGCCCAGTGTTGAGATTACAAGGAAGCCATAACAAAAAGACAACTGGGAAGACTGTAACTATAGTTCAGTGGCACAGCCCCTGCCCTGCCCCGCCTGTGTGAGCCCCGAAACTCAACCCCCAGTACCGCCATAGGGAGGAGATAAAAAGGAAACCTGGACTTTAGATTGCCTTAGCAAAAACAAAACTGATTGATGATGGGTAAAGGACCTAGTGGCTAAAGCACATATCATGCACCCGTGAGCATCTGAATTGAAATCTCCAGGATCTGCAGAAAGCTGAATGCTACAGTGCACATCTGAAATCCCAGAGGGCCTGTGTAAGGTGGGAGGCAGGAAACAGGGGAACCCCTGGGACCCCCTGGGCCAGTTAGCTTGGAGAACACATAGGTGAACAGCAAGAGATTCTGTCTCAACGTGGGAGCCAGAATGGACCGCTGAACTTGCCCTCTGACTTCCATGTTTGTGTAGCGGCATGCATGTGTGCGCGCACACTTTGTAAAAGAACAGCAAGAGAAGGATAAGGAGGATAAAAACGAGGAGCGGGGAAGAGGAAAAAAAAATCCAAACTAACTAAACACCTCACAAACTGGCCATTAGGTCTTGATCATTGGCCTTGTCCCCCTGCAGAGACTGGGGCAATGAATCCAATGTATCACACCTCCTGTTACAAGGACATAGGATAATGCACAGGCTGCAACCAAAAGCCTGCGGAGTCAGGAACAAAGCCAACAGAGGGAATGGAAATGTTGCATTCCTGGCCACACAGAAGTGAGTGTGCCCTTCTCCAGAGGTCTGTCCTTATCCAGCCCCAGCTAACAGCTACTCCATAGGAGAGCTTACCACTGTTACCAGACCGCCCTCCACCCCCACTGTTTCTGAAGAGCAGCAGGAAATCTATTTGCATACGTTATTTCTTGACTTCTCTGTAGTCCAAGCAAAGCAGTCTGCTGTCTGGAGCCAGCACCAGGGTAGCAAGCTAGTCTTTGGAAATATTATAAAGTTTTAGCCAAATCCAAGGCAGCATTTATGTGCTTTCTTGAATTGTTGTCCATTTCCTCGTGTGTTCTCTTTCCTGTCACTCTGAGCTCTGATTTCCAGAGAGCTCATCTTCCAGATTGTAGGAGGGGGAGTCTTCAGAACAAAAGGACTCACTAATGAAGCTTGTAAATAAATCATAAGGTGGTGGGAAAAGCTTCCAATGTCTGGGGCTACTCCCTTACTTTTTACAGACAGTCACTGCCTCCAGCAGGATGAATTCTCAAAGGGCCATGTGAGGCCACTCTGGTGGATGTAAATGCACCAAACCACAAGCCATGAGCCTGACCCAGATCAGAACTTGGCCTTGCTTCAGTGGCGCTAGAAAGAGTGAAGATCTTGGAACACTTGCTGATGGAATGAATGGGATGTGGGCCCAGGAGGAAAGGAGTGTGCTGTCGGGGAGGTTAGAGCCAGGCCTGCCCTTTAGCAGGGCTATGAACAAATGAAATCTGTCCTTGGGGTTCCACTGTTATCACAGATTTTATCTTTTTGAGACTTTAAGCAGAGCACCAGCCTAACCTTGGGCGGATTCTCACTGGTTAGTATTAAGTTTGAAACACAGAACAAAAACCAAGTCAGTCAGCCGCAGCTTCAGTTCTTCCCTGGGAAATACATTTCATCAAGAACTGTCCCTCTGGATGCCTCAAGTCCTTCCAGACAGCTTCGATTCCAAGAGGCACACCTAGATCCACCGTTCACCTGCCAACTAAGCCACCTCTTGGCCTCTTCCTGGACCTATATCCTGGCCTCAGTTTCCTGCAGACAGAGACCTTGACTTCAGTTTGACCTAGTCTTCTAATTGTTGTACTCACTCCCCTCAGGGCCTTGCTTGTAATCTTCTGGCTGACTGGAGCATCCTATCCTTAGCCTTTGACGTGACTTGCTCTTTCTTATCATTTGGGTTACAGCCCCAAGTCACCTCCCCAGGCGGCTCTTTCAGTAAGTGGATCAGATGGATCTACCTCAACTTCCCCCTTCTGCTTCCACTGCCAGGCTCTTCCAGTGTCCTGTTTGCTGCACAGGCTCCTCACAAGCAGAATAAAGCCAAGAGCAAAGCCTTGACCTCGGATGCTCTGTTTACTGTGGCATCCCCCAGCAGCTTGAACCATGGCTGGTATGTGGAATAGAGGCAGTAAACATTTATGAATGAACACATAATCTCTTGATTTGACTCCTGCCTGCTCATCTGCCTATGTGTGCAGCGCTCTCAGCTTCTGAGATGACAGCATGTTCTTGTCATTTCATGGCGGAGCACTGCTACTATCCCCAATCCTTGGCCGCTTGTCTGCCAGGCAATTGAAGCCAGGCTTCTCATTGGAAGATAATGTTAAGTGCTATTCAGATGTCTGGGCTCTGAGGACAAACTACCTCAGTTCAAACCCAACTTTGCCTCCAAGAATCTCTGACTCTTGAAAGTTACTTAATATCTCCTTGCCTTGGTTTATCCTCCTATAAACTAGGGGTTATAATAACTATTGTTCCTTATCTTAAAAGGTTGTTGTAAGGGGTAAGTGATTATATATAACAAATATACATTACATATATAACATATGTGTATTATATATACATATAAAATTATGTATCAGAAAGGTTTGGGGAGATATATCAAACAGTAAAGTACTTGTTGTGGAATTCTGTACCCAACATCCATGTAAAAACTGGGGTCATGGCTATACATATCTGTGACATTGTGGGATGGGGGGGCAGTAGACAGAAATGGGTGGTTCCTGGAATTCTCTAGCCAGACAGTCTAGCTAACTAGTGAGTGTCGGATGCTGTGAAAGATCTACCTCAAAAACAAGATGGAAGACATCCAGTATCGGCACACACACACACATACACTGCAAACATTTATGGGTACACATGCACAGGCACGCACACATGCACAGAACTCAGGACAGCATCTATGACTGATAAGTATTTTATATAGCCCATTTCTTACAATGATCTCTAAGGGTATTTGAAGATCTCCAGAGGCCCCAAGTGTCCTTAAGTTGAGAATACTCCTCACTTCACCTCCTGTTCCATACATTAAAAGCACCCATATGTCACATTAAATCCTTTCTGAGCTGTAATTATTTTTGGAAACTGTTTATAGTTCAATATGTTAAGAACAAAGTATTCAGGCCTGTCATGCACATCTTGGGAGGCACAGGAGGGAAGGTGACAAGTTCAAGGGCCACACAGAGGAACTTGGTCTAAAAAAAAAAACTATTCCAAACAAAACAAAATGAAACACTGTTTGTCCCCTAGGACTTGAAAGTTGTGACATTTAAGAATTAAGTTGTAGCTGACCATTTGTGGCAATATTCCATTCCACAAGACATTAATTAGGGAAATATTTGCCAGTTTTACATTTAATTTTCTTTTCACATTTTGAGAAGCAGTTTTTCAGGCCTACACCATCTTTCCCTTGCCTTTGGCTTTTTGAAACAGGTTCTCTGTAAGTAGCCCAGACTAGTCTTCAGTTCTTCATCTTCCTGCCTGCACTTCGGGGTAGGCTCATTCATTTCTGATACCCTTAAAAAAAAAGCAGGTACAGACAGGAGTGGGGATAGATACCTATAATCTAAGCACTCTGAAGGCTGAGGCAGGAGGATATCAAGTTTAAAGCTGGGCAAGATGTATAGTGAGACCCTGACTCCAAGAAAATCAAACCAAAGTATTTGGGCATTCTGTATGGTGGAGAAAGCACTTTGGATCCAGTTTGCAAGCATGAAGCCTCTCTACTTACCATTGATGTGAGCTCCCGGCTTCACCCATTCACCAAATAAAATGGGCTCTGTTGCCATGGTGACTGTGATGATGACATCAGCACCCGTCACAGCCTCCTGCACCGATGAACAGACCCGAACATCTCCTTGCACCGTGCTTGCAAACTTCTCTGCATTTTCCCTCGTGCGGTTCCACATTCTCACCTTAGAGTGGGTAACAGAAAGGGACACTGGTGTGTTTCTTCCCTGCTCATGCCACGCCAACCCACGCTGCTCTGAGATGGTGACAGCAGTGTCTTTAAAGAATGAACATTTCATCAAGGTCACAGCATTAATCTGAACAGGTATCGTCTCAGCTGAATGGAAACCGCCTCTCCTTTAAAGAAAGTAGACACTTTCCAGTTTCAGGGCAGGATGCAGCCTTGACAGCCTAATGATTACAGAGAAGGGTCTGGAACCACGCAGGCGTGGCACGCATGGCAACTCCTCCTTTACTTTATATCATTCCTGCAATGATTTTTCCCTCATCCAGCCTCAGCCCACATCTGCGAGATGGAAATGACAACCAGGCAAAGACAGCGCGGCACTTAGTCCGAGTTTGGAGGTCTGGATCAAAGTTTCTGCAGATACAGACTCAGGAAAAGACTGCTTTGTCATGGAAGAACTTCATCAATGAAGTATAGAGGAAGGTTGAAAAGCAAACATTTTTAGGAGAATGGTGTAGCTGATAAAAAGACCAATTGTGAAAGCCACGGAATCCTAGAAGGTGCTAGGGTGGAGGCTGACGGGGGCTGGCAGCCTTGAGAGCTGAGCTCACTAACAAGTTTCCATGTCTGGGTCAGAGGCTGAGAGCCTTCAACTAAAAATAAGGCTCAATGACTCTCTCATTGGGAGTCATGGTAAATAGAAAACCAAGCTTTACATCTAAGCTCATCAAGCCGGGCAAACATACCTAGTAATAAATCACTGGTCGGCTGTGCCATCTTTTCTGATAGGAAACGGTGCAAATATTACACAAACGTTAGATAATCTGCATCAGGGACATTGGAAGCATTAATACAAGCACGGGATACACAACTGTGGGCAGCCAACAAGGTTAAAGCTCCTGTAAGCCGTGGGTGAGAGAAGCCCAGAAACTACCTGCCTGTCTGTGAAAACAGCTAACTGGCTTTTTCTTTTTTGCTTCTTATCCCCAGTCTTTATTTCTCAAGACAGCAGTATTATTTTTATCGTAAAAATGCATACTTTGCATTGCTTCCACCTCTCTCACAGGCATACATTAAAATGGAAAAAAATACATCATTAAACATTTCCTGTGAAGCCAGGCCATGATAGGGCAGCAGGGGGAAGGTGGCAAGATCTGCGGATGGCAGCGGAAGGCAGCTGTGCCCTCTGCTCACCAGGCCTCGCCTTGATTCTCAATCCACAGCCCGAAATTCTTAAAGCCTCCCAGAGTCTTGTAAGAGAAGCATGGGAAAGTGCAGCTGATACCCGAGGTGTCAGAGAATCACTTGGGTGGCTGGTGGCACCCCCAGGTGTGGGTCCTGTGAGCCACGAGCCTGAAAAGAGGTCAGGCTTCGTGGGGAAGACGTAAAGGTGAGGGTGATCTACACTGGACTCGCCCACTGTTTGCCCGAGTTGGGTGGTACCTAGAGGCCCCTGTCCCATCTGCCCCCTCCCCAAGCCCCACCCTTACTCACCTCCTTGAAGGAGAACTGTTCTGTGAAGATCTCATAATGACTATATGCCTGGACCCCAGCCCCAAGGATGCACAGCACCTCGCTGTCTCGGGGTTTCAAAAACTGAGAGGAAACAGGGTAGCAAAGGTCAGCAGGTGAAAACAAAAACAAACGAACATCAGGTGGCCAGGAGGCTTCAGCCACCCTCAAAAGCTGGTGGGCACCATGCAGATGCCACTTTGTTTCCATTTACCCTCTGTAGAGAGGGGCAGGAAGGAAGGAGCCTTCACAGAGTGCCTACTGTGTGCCAGTACTCAACTCTCCTGATCTCATTTGGTCTGGACAAGAACCCTATGGGATGAACACTCCTAGTGTGTGTGTGTGTGTGTGTGTGTGTGTGTGTGTGTGTGTGTGTGTGTACATGTGTGCACATGCTTGTGGTGGACAGAGGCCAACCTCAGGTGTTGTTTCTAAATAATATAAACACCTTGCCAATGCTTCCCTGGGTCATGGCACTTCTGCTATGCAAACCAGCATCCTAAACCATCGTCCTTCTTAAATCCATGAAAAAAAAAATCCAGATTCCAATTATTCCCCCAGAATCCCATTTTTTTCTCTACAGCCTTTTGAGATATGGTCTCATTATGTAGTCCAGGCTATACTATAGCTTGTGGCGATCCTCCTGCCTCATCCCCAACTGCTGGGACTATAGTTGTACATCGTCCTCCCAGATTAACATCCTAGTCTAAACTTCTGTTTTGCAAACGATACCCTCCACAAACCCTCCACCTTTCTCATGGGGATGTCACCATCACCACTTGTTTGACCTTCTGCCTGCAGTGCCCACTCACTGATTTCAGTCCTCTCTCAAATGACACCCTGTCAGGGAGGTCACTTCTGAATTGCTTAGAGCATCATCTTTTTACTCAGAAACAGTGGTGTGTACCTATAGACCTAGCTATGTGGAAGGCTGAGGCAAGTGAACCTAAATATTCAGGTCCAGCATGGGCAACATAGTAAGGCCTTCTTTCAAAAAATAAAGTTACTTCCACTTCAATATTTTTAGCTTTGTTTCATTTTGTCTTCCTTTATTGGGTTTTAAAGGGTATTATTTTTTTCAGCAAACTCTAAACATACTAGCAATTATTCACTAATTAATAAAAAATTATGAAATAGTTAAACATGCAGTAACATTTATTAATAATTAGTATATAGTGCATTAAAGAGCCATTTATTTTTTTTCTAAAGTCAAATCAGTTTCCACTTTGCCTTTTGAGACAGGAAAATGGGGAGCTGTGCATGGAAGGCGGTTGGGACTGTGCGGCACACATTCAATAGCTTTGTGAATTACTGTGCACACGCAATGACCCATGTTTGGTACATGGAGTCTCAGTTATGAACAAGGCAGACAGTATGTTCCGCATTCCTCCCTCTGCAGACCTACTCTGGCCAGCACAGTGTAGCCACTGGCCTTACCTTCGTGGCGATGGCAGACACAGCAGCTGTTCTCTTTGCAGTGATGACATTCCCATCCATGACCTTGGAGGAAGGAAAGACAATGAGGAAGGTGCCGTCCTAGGATGGAAACCCAGAGGAGCAGCTCTGAAGGCCGCTCAGGCAACCCTGGAGAACTGCAGTGAATGTGGAGCTTAGGGCCACACTCAGATCTGTTCCCTCCCCTTAGGAGCTCTGCGGCTTTGAAAGCTAGTCTCTATTGACTGGACTCTTCACCTGTAAAAACAAGGCGGGTGCCAACAGCGCAGAGGGCACCGAGAGTGCTAACGACAGACATCTGCGTACAGGGAAGCCACTGCGCACACTAGACATCACCCTTTTTGTTTTCTTGCCCTGGGATTCTCAGATCTCCAAGCTGAGGGGAAACTTCAGGGGTCTGATAGTCACTTCACATCTCAGGAGCTTTGGAAAGACACTTTTCCCAGAGCCACCTTCAGGATGACTTGGGCTTGGGGTATGCAGCTCACTTGTCAAGGTCTTGGGACCCTTTCCTGGTACAAGGAAAGCCAAGAAAATGAAGTCCCCAGGGATGGGTGGGATCAAGCTTTTCTTGGTTTCCAAGGCTCGCCAGGAGGTCCTGATGCCCAGGGAGGGGTGAGCATTTTGCCTGGCTGACAATAACTGCCACCCTTTCACTCCTCTTGGCTGACTCTCAAAAGGCAAGCGTTATTATTTGTTATTATTCTCACTTTACAGGCCCGAAGCTGACTCCTGGAGCTACACAACATTGAGCAAAGCCCCAAAGTCCTGCCATCTAGTGCAAAAAGCAGAAGTCCCAGAAGTGGGGATTCACTGCCATCATTGTTCTAGGTAGCTTAAATGCTGCTGCCACTGGGTGAGCGCAGGCTGGGAAGGAAGAGCTAGATTCTCATCCCTAGTCGGAGTCTGGCCAGACTCCATCAGGACTCATACATTCAGAGAGAAGGAAAGGGGGTTTGAGAGCCCTCTAAGAGTCAGGGTATCACGCCAGTGTCTGTCAGATGGGTCAAAAAATGACCTTAACTTACGAGCTGGGTGACATCAAGTCAAGGATCTCTACTGACCTCAACAAAAATGAAAGGGGAAGCAGCAGACTGAGGCAGGAAGATCATGTATGTGAGGCTGGCCTGGGACACAAAGCAAACAGACAGACAGACAGACAGACAGACATCTAGGACTGGCTACACCATTGATTTAGACTGAAGAGGTTGAAGTCCAGCCTTGCTTAGTAGGGGAGAAAGTTGAGCAGTACTGGCAGCACTCCTAGTCTCCGAAGTAGGGGGAAGAATATTATGTACTTCCTGGGTGGTTTTAGCTATACAGGTAATGAGCTTAGAACCCTGCATGTCTCTCTCTCTCCCCCTCTGTGTCCGTCTCTCTCTCACATACACACAAATCACTCAGTAAATGTGAGCTGTTGCTATTTTCCCACCTCGCTAGATGCTCAAAACAGATGTCAGGGAGACACTAACAGGCTGGGGGATAGTCTTCTGCTCCATGGGTGGGCGGGGGGAGTCGATGAATAAATGTCTCCTTGGCTACCACTTTAGTTCAAGCTATGCGCTTGGTGTGTCTGGACAGGAACAGAAGCAGGAATAACAGGACTGTCATTTCCACAGCCACATGTTTGCTAGCCACTGTGGGCTCAAAACGGTCTTAGAAACAGATGCCGTCCAGGTCACCTTTGCTGTCGTCTCATGTTGGTCACGCGTGATCGCATGTCACTTCTCACGGCTTAATTCTGGGCCTAAGGGACACTCTCTACTCCAGGAGGGACTTGCTTTCCCTGCTCTGTCCCAAGGGAGAAGAGCTTGCTTACCGCCAGCAGGGAGCCATTGCTGGGCTCAAAGAGAAGCACCGAAGCCTGGTGGGAGGGGACGGTGGACGTGTTGCTGTGGCCCTCGTAGAAGGTGACTAACTTGGTGGTGAGTGCATCCTCACTTGCACTGTAGGCTGGCATGACTCCCAGGAAGCTGAGGAGGGGGGCGAGGAGAGAGAGAGAGAGAGAGAGAGAGAGAGAGAGAGAGAGAGAGAGAGAGAAAGAAGTTGCAACCCCTTCCAGTCTATGCTAAGTGTTCTGTCAAGTCCCATTCATCTTCCGTCCTCCATCCCTGCTGCTCCGCTGGCACGCCGCTCCCCGTGCCCTCATTCCTGTGCCCTTCTCTGGGGCAGGACTCATAGCCTGGCTTTGGACCAGAAAGCCATCACAGCCCTGGCACTTCTCAGCTGTGTAAGCGCCACTAAATCACTTTTTACCTCTTTGGGTCTCAGTTTTCAACCAGCGGAGTGACTACCTTGGTACCTCCCTCCTTGCTAAGTAAGAGCAGTGTTGAATTACAGCAGGTGGCCCCTGTAAAGCGCCTTCTTGGCACAGTGCCTGTGGGTAGTGCCCCTTAAGCGACAGCTGTCATTAGCAGAGATCAAGCAAGACCTCTCCTCCCCTCTCCCATTGCTTTCCTCGTCTTTCTTTCGAAACCTTTTCTCCCATCACCTTCTGGTCTCTTCTTCACTCACCCTCGGTGCTTGGCCACCGGCACCACGGTGCGCACGGGCTGCATGACCCCTCCATCCGAACCTCTGGAGAAGTTCGCCAGAGCAGTCTCCAAAGGCGGGATGAGGAGGCTGGAGCTGCGGAGGTGGTCCTGCACCTCGTCCGCGCTCAGGAATGCTGGCGCCCGCCTCATCTCGCCGCCTGCCTTCGAACCTGAGCTAGGCACTCACTCCACCTTCCCGAATCCGAGCCCTAAATGAGCGCACCACCCGCGCAGCAACGCTGGGCGGGCTTCCCGGGGCGGAGCATCGTCGCCCCGCCCCTCGATCCCGGCCACGCCCCCGCCACCCACCCCAATTCCTAGGGTTCCCGGAGGCTTCTCCCTAGATTGGAATCAAGGCTGCAGGCTGGAGGAGTAATTCTTGATTCCCATTCCTGTAATTAGCCATCGCCACAGCCCTGGGCACCCTGTGTGTGTGAAGAGGACTTTGGGTTTCCACCTTGTCACTCCACATCAGAGCCACTGGGGCTGGTATTGTGAGAAAGACGGGAGAGATGACAGGGTGCTCGCTCTTAATGCTTGCTTTGGTGAAAAGGGGCTTGGAGGGTTATGTCATACTTTTAATTCTGTCTCCTTCTGGAGTTTCTTCTGTTCCCAATCTCTCTCCCACAACCACCTCTAGACACTAGCTGTCATTTTAAGCGCACAGCTGACTCGACTCAGGTTAAACAAAACAACCTTCACCTTGAAGTCTCGGACAAGGGTAATGAACTCAGTCACATAGACAGCTAAATACAGTTTGTTTTTTTACAAGTTCATGATGTACATGAAGAACAGACAATATACATAAAATGGAAGGAAACCAGTCACGAGAGTGACAGCTAACCCTCCACCATTGATGGTGTGATGCCTAACCCTCGACCAGCGGTAGAGGAAGTGCTTTCGGGAATCCCGAGGGACTATTCTAACCCGGAGAGGCAAGGTGTCAGTCAGAAAGGAGCAAAGAAAATGAGGGTTCGAAAGAATAAGAACAGCAGCAACAACCGCTTATCTCATTTGACTACACCAACTGTGGCTGAGGCATGGATGTACTGTTGTTAGCCTTACTAGTGTAGGTTCTGGGATCTGTTCAAGGTATCCACCGAGTCAGCAGCTGTTAGGCTACATACATTTGGGGTGTGTACGTGTGCATGTGTACATGCCTGTGTGTGTGTGTGTGTAAGCCGCCACCATGCATGGGTGCATGGGTGCTATGAACTGAATCCCGGTCCACTGAAGAGCAGTAAAAGCTCTTAAGAACAGCATCATCTCTCCTGCTCCTTGTTTTGTTTTGCTTTGAAACAGCATCTCGCCAAGGCCAGACTGGCTTCAAAATCCCTTTGTAGCCAAGACTGGCCTTGAACTCCTGATGCTCCTGCCTCCACTTCCCAGGTGCTAGGACAGCAGATGTGCAGTCAGTGCCAGCTTTAATTTTTATTATTAAAACAATACAACTGTTACTGAGTGTAGTAATGGCTTGGAGAGAAAGGCTATTAATAAACTCACTAGTAATGTAGGAGAAGCTGCTGTGTCTCTCCCCTGCCCCCTCCTGAGACCTTGTCTCTGCCGGGGGAAATTCTCTGCTGACCATCTACAGACCTAGGAAGACGTGCGTCCGCTTGCCCCTCCCTGGACTGCTGCCAACACTCTAAAAGTGACAGCAGGGTAGAGTGGTCCCCGGGCTGCAGCAATATTGACTCAACAAAATTTATTGGACACACTCAGTAAATAACAGTCAATACTCAAGAGAAATATTAAAATAAAACAATAAAGTAAAAAATAGCCAAAGGAGAACAACAATAAATAAAATATTTAAAAAATTAAATGGAAGTTAGAACAACGGAGTTTCTCTTTTTGCTTTGGACTCTAGGACAGCTCCTTCAAAAAGACTGAAAATATTATATGTATTTATCTGGGCTTCTGAGTTCTGCCGTCGCCTCAGCCGTCTTGCTGGCTTTACTACAAGTCTCTGGTTGTGGACCAGCGAGCGCGCGAGCGGAACTCAGCCGAGTGGAAAAGGCTCCAGGGCGCACGCGTGGGCGACACCCAGGCGGCTTCTTCCGGCGCGCGCCCCCGCGCCCCTTGCGCGTCCCCGTCCGTCCCGACCCGTCCGCGCCGCCAGGCGGTTGGCTGGAGCGTTGAGAGGAGTAGCGGTGCCCGGGCGACGCGCGTCCCCTCGTGGCCGTGGAGGTGACTGTTGAGGGGTCTGAGAGGTGCGTGTCGTGGACCTGTTCTGCTGCCGCTTTTAGACGCCGCAGGAGTCCAGCGTGGGTCCCTGCACACTCGCCTGTCGGGATTGAGGAGCGAATATCATTGTGTATGTGTGTACTGCTGCCTAAAGGAAAGGAGTGACTGTCGGCCAGTGCATGCGGGGGCCACATCCATCTCCAAGGAGATTGAGACGGGACACTTCTAAAGGCAGAAGGCCATCGTGCTGGGTTTTGAAGCAGAGCCTGGGTCTGACCGGGGTTTGTTGCAGGTTTTCACTGCAGTTCAGTAGAGGAGGCTGTCGGGCAAGATGTCCTGGTGACTTCCCTAGCGAGCGGCAGTTTGAGTGGAGCAACTGTAAGTAATCCACACATTGTGGAGGTTGAGGCAGGAGAATAACAAGTGTGAGGACAAACAGGGCTACATAGCGAGACCCTGCCTCAAAAGGAAAACAAAAGGACCCTTCGGCTGTCTTGGGAAAAGTTTTATGATAAGCACGTGTGCAATGCATGCAGTAGGCTTTCCCCTTTTAACCTCCTGACTCTTAGTTTGGTTGGTTTGTTTATGACCCTCCCCTCCCGATCCCCCCTTTCCCTCCTCTCCCCGCAATTATTATTATTGTCCAGGGTTTTGTTGGTCCTTAGACTTACCTGGTCTTGTATGCACTATGTAGCCAAAGCGGTCCTCAAGTTCACACAGTCCCCTTGCCTCAGCCTACCTAGTTCTGTGATTAAGAGCATGCGCCATCCCACCTAGCATCACTCCATTTTGACATGAACACTTTCCAGTTTAGGGGTTCGAGGGAAGGATTTGGGATCCAGGATCAGTTTTACTCTTAACCTGATTTGACACAAGTCACCTGACTTCTGTGTCTCATCACAAAGAGTTGGGAATAATTCTTTATCAATCTCACGATTCTATTTATTTAAAATATTACTGTAGCACAACATAAGCTTAACCATGTTTTTGAGTCCCCTTTACCACACTCATAAATTCTTCACTAATTCTAGAACATGTCTCACTCTCAAATAAATTTTCTTACTCCCACAATAAATCCTGCATTTATTAAGCAGTCGCTTTCCACGGCCTCCTCCTCGCTGCCCCTGGCAACTGCTGTTCTTTTTTTCTGTCTGAATTAGTGGAGTCTGGAATTTTACATGAATGGAACCATATATGTTCTGCTTAGCATACTGTTTTCAAGGTTCTTGCCTGCTGTAGCAGGTACCATGCATCATTCCTCACCCTCTATGGGCAATCGAGACTCCATCATTGTATGTGTTTGGTCATCAGTTAAATGGACTTTGGGGTTATGAAGGCATCATGAACATTTGTATATATGTCCCATTTGCGTTTATTTATTTATTTAGTATGTGTGCCCATGTGTGGAGGTCAGAGGACAACTTATGGGAGTAAGTGCTCTCCTTCCAGGTTCCAGGGCTCAAACTCAGATCATCGACCTTGACAGCAAGCATCCTCACCTGCTAAGCCAGCTCACTGGTCCTGTACAATTTTTGGTGGGCGGGGGGACAGGGTATGGACATACTTATGTTTTCTAGGAGTGAGATTGGAGAGTCCTATGGAAATTGGGCATTTGGTCTTTGAGAAGCAAGCTGCCAATCTGTTTCCCACTGTGGGCTGCCCCATTCACCACCAGTGGGGAAAGGTTCCTGTTTTCTACCTTCTGGGCACGAATTTTCTATTTTGTTTTTGATGTAGAATGTATAGCATGTGGCAGATTAAGCAGCATCCCACTGAACTTATATTTTTCGTTTTCTTTGAGTAATGATGTGAAATCTTTTAATGCAGTCATTGGCTATCTGTAGGGTTTCCTTGTAGAAATGTCTGTTTAGGACTTGCCCACTATTTAGTTGGGCTGTCCTTTGGCTGTAAGGCTTACTGTATATGTTCAGGATGTGATTTGGCAATGCTCCCTTCCACTCTTTGTCCCAGAGTGCATTGTTGTTGTGATGATTTGAGACTCTGTTTATTCTAAGCATTTGTTTTTGCCACCACATTGCATCCTGATCATTTTGCATACGGCACGGGGTTCAAACCCAGGTCCACTCCTTTGCACAAGGGTCATTAGTTAAGCGCATTTGTTGGAAATTGTGTTCTTTTCCTGGTAAGTGAGCAAGCGTGATGAGCGTCAACCATGGTGCATGGAGCGTTGCCCTACTCTGTGCCTCTGCTTTTCTCAGTTTGCTTCTGTTCTGATGATTGATGCTGTGCAGAAATGTTGATATCATAAAGTACCAGGCTTCCAACTTGATTCCTTGTTCAATATCCTTTAGAATTCCATATGAATTTTAGGACCAGCCTATTCAAGGCATTGAGTTTCTTTTTTTTTTCTTTTTATTGAGCTATACATTTTTCTCTGCTCCCCTCCCTTTCTTTCCCCTCCCATTCAACTTTCTCCCATGGTCCCCATGCTCCCAATTTACTCAAGAGAAAGATCTTTCTACTTTCCATGTAGACTAGATCTATGTAAGTCTCTCATAGGGTCCTCATTGTTGTCTAGGTTCTCTGGGATTGTGAATTGTAGGCTGGTTTACTTTGCTTTATGTCTAAAAGCCACTTATGAGTGAGTGAGTACATGTGGTAATTGTCTTTCTGTGTCTGGGTTACCTCACTCAAAATAATATTTTCTAGCTCCATTCCTTTGTCTGCAAATCTCAAGGTATTATTATTATTATTATTATTATTATTATTATTGCTGTGTAGTACTCCATTATGTAAATGTGCCACATTTTCCTTATCTATTCTTCAGTCAAGGGGCATTTCGGTTATTTTCAGGTTCTGGCTATGACAAATAATGCTGCTATGAACATAGCTGAGCACATTTCCTTATGATACAATTGAGCATCCTTTGGATACATACCCAAAAGTGGTATTGTTGGTTCTTGAGGAAGGTTGTTTCCTAATTTTCTGAGAAATCACCATACTGATATCCAAAGGGGCTGTACCAGTTTGCACCCCCACCAGCAATGCAGTAATGTTCGCTTTATCCATGTCCTCTCCA